AACTGAACTCAACTAATTAGAGCTCAACTGAACTGAATATTTTATAAGAGAAGGAAATTAGGAGTTGAATTGAACTTATTAGAGCTGAGTTGAACTGAAGATAATCGTATCAGAACAGGCCATAAGTTATACTCCCTCCGTTCTTTTTTATTTAACTCATTTTGACTTTTACACTATTCACCAACTCATACATACTTCCTCCGTTTCTATTTAGTTGACGCGTTTGATTTAGGCACATATATTAAGGAGAGGAGAAAGAGTGAGAGAGAATGAAAAAACAAGTGGGGTAGCTTGTAAATGCAAGGTAAAAAATTTACCCAAAAGGAAACGTGTCAACTATTAAAAAAAACTTCCTAAAAAGGAATACGTGTCAACTAAAAATAAACGAAGGTAGTAAACTTTTATAATTTTTACTTAGAGAGAATTAAAGTTATTGATAGTTAAAAGTTGTGTATCAGCAAGCATGATAAAAGAAAAAAGTCAAGTAAAAAAAAACGGAGAAAGTATAAAGTATAGTAAAAAAAAATATTAAATCATCAATTTCCCTATTGATTACTTGAATTTATCATTCAAAATGCTTATAATTTATGACATTTTTAACATTAGTTCTTTTCTTATCTCTCCGTCTCTCCGATCTAAAAACAGGGAATTTGTATTTAAAACAAAATGGTTTCTCCAAATAATTTCTAACTTTACCCCCTAAATTTATTGTGCACTTGGGAAAACGCTGCTCCAAACCTCCTACATGCAGTTACGGCACACCCACTGACCCACCTGAGAGGGTCACAAGGACTCACAACTAATTGACTGACCTTTACGTCACAATTAAGGTGCAAATAACTCGACTACTCAAACAGTGAAACCTCATTTCCCAGCAACCATATTCCTCTTAGCTATGTCATTCACAACTTCACTAATAATGTTACTAACACAAGTACAAACTTCCTAGAAAGCTTAAAATCCTGTGCTTTAGTCAAACAAACATCAGATTCTTCCACTTCTGATAGTTTTTTTTTTTTTTTTTTTTTTTTTTTGGGTTCATCATACAAGCACATTTAAGGCTCCAAACAATGACTAAATCATTTATATTATTAGCTCATAATTCAGGGGTAGCTTTCTCAGTTTCTTTCTTTATGCAATCTATCTTTCGGGCTGCTCTTTGCTTGCTAAGCAAAAGAATCAGCTCCTTTTCGTCTCCTCTTAACCAACAATTCCGTTGTTGCATTAAGTATACATTATCACCTACCGAGTACTTCATATGATTCACGTTGGAGGAGAGAATAAAACATTACATCATTAACAGAACAGAAGAGATAACATGCAATTCAAATTTGGGTTCTTGGGTTCACTTAACTATCTTTGTACTCGGATGCTCATAGGTGCATATTCGCTTTTTTTTTGTCACTTTCTAGGGTGCAAAAAACATGTGCAGCAGTACAAAGAATCCTTGTAAAATGAATCCTACTTGGGGATTATTTGGAATGGTGAAAATCATTTAGGGGAATCCTGGAGTTATTAAAAAGGTTATAGATGGGTGTAGGCGATGGTAGTGATTAAAAGCGCCTGGTTCCACTGCAAATTTACAAAAATATCCCAAGAGAACAACAATTATGTAGTAATCCCATACGTAGCCATAACCTTCCACCCATACATAGACTATTCCTACCTCCCAAGTCCTTAGAGACCCACACGAAATGATATTGAAATACGAATAGGCAAATCAAGATTTAGTGTAATCAAATCATAACAGAGAGGTACGGCCTGTAGTCTCTGTACGGATCAATACATACACTGCAATAATCATAGTTTTAATGGGTGTTTTTCTATATGCAAGCCATACATAGAACATTTTGGGATGATCCTCGGTAGATAAGGGGATATTTGGGGAAGAAAATCTCTTGATATTGGGTGATTTGCCCGTCTCTGAACAGAGTAATCATGATTTTACGGACAAGGCTCAAAGCTTAAGGGCATTGACACATAATCTTAGCAAAAAAACTTTTTACTCGCCTGTTATTTACTTTCTCACGGCTTCCCAGCTTCATGCTTTCGCTTTTCAGCCTCCATATCTCATTACAAGCTGAGAAAACCTATGTCACAAAAAAAAAATTGCATTAGACTCCCAGCTAATGTTTTCATTTCATTTGAATTTCTTGGATGTTCATGTCCGATAAATTTTTCAATCTCACAGGTAGTTTTACAACACCGTTGTGCACCACTTGTGTGAGGGGATGAAGATGGCCTCCGTATATGAATCCATTCTTACATGTGGTGCACAACAGCTCAAAATCCAAATTCATTAACATAAAATAGCACCGAACTATTGGTCATTGAGGTACAGGGTTCGGCAGTCAGCCATATGGTTAATTGGTTAGGCACACATCTCCCATATCAAATTCATGGGTCTAAGTCTAACCAGCTAAACACACATAATTGGGGCAGGGGCAGTGGATTGGGGTCATGATCATAGGTTGCACTTGAGTTAGCTGGGCTAGGCTAGTAAACACATGCCCAAGTTAATCATCAAAAGAAGGGAGTGCCAAAATTATGCTCAGATAATATTCGTACACACATCTCATATCTTTGTATTCACTATGAGACAAAGTGGAAAAAACACTATGGTCTACTCTAGTTTTTCATCCTTGGCATCAAAGTAGAGAGAATAATCTCCTATACGTGCTTCAAGATGGAGACATAATTAGATTCGAAACAAAACCATTTCAATTCTTTCTAACAAACAAACAGGAGTAAGAAGATCTTAGCTTAAGCCTAATATACCCTGCCTTTTTTATTTGTTTAACCTGCAAATATTACTTAACCATGCACATCAGCACATTTATCAGACATCATTGATATATTACAGTACTAGCTTACGGATAAAATTAGTGACCATAAAATATGCATGAGTGAAGAAGACTTAGAAGATAACGAGATTCGAGATATTAGCATCATCATCATGATCAACCTTAAGGACCATTGTGGGTGGATATCTCTTTCACATTTTTAGATCCCTCTTCCTCCAATGGTACACAGGTACATGCTCCACCCAGTCACACACCTTACTCTCTTTCCTTCCTGGAAAATTAAAACCAATCAAGGTGTCCATCCTGCGCTAAATTATAATCTTCTAGACTAGTCCAACAAATTAGAATTTAATAAGAAAATATATCAAGATTAGCACTACTTCCTTGTATCTAATGTTCCTTTATCCTCAAGGCGTCACCAGAAAAGTACAGATATATGAATGAAATATATTATATAAATCGAAATAAACTCTATTCACTGACATTATCCTCTTGAATTTTTCCCTATCTAGATTCTCTCCTTTCTCTTTATATAAGCTTTAATATTTGATTGTTATTAATAACAAATACTCATTTACTTATGCATCCATACGCAATTAATTATTTGGGGAGGGGAGTAAAGTCAACAATAATATGATTTCATGTACCCTATTACCTTACACATAAAACAAAAAGGAAATCTAACCGGTCATTTGGAATTCTAGAAACCTAAAGTAGTATGTGTCAACGAAAATGTAATACTTGTCTACACAAATACATAGGTCACATACTTGCAAATTACTCTGAAAGCAAGTCAGGAATCCACTTGGACATATTTTACTAATTGGAAAGCAAACACCATTAAAATGCCAAATTATAAGTATAGGCTATGCTTTATTCCATACCTCAGCATTTGAAAGAAGAATTTCATGTTTTAATGACTGAATAGAGACAAAGATGTACTTGCATTTAATTGAAATGAATGGACAGCAGTCATTCCACTTAATAAAAGGGTTAGATGCTACAAGCAACTTGCTCAAGAGAAAATAAAATGCAAAAAATCATCCATGATAGTTTTACAGTATATGCTATATGTTTCAACAAGAAATAAACTACTCGCTCACTGAATAAATGCACTCCATATCTTGATTGAATAAAAGCAAGTGGAAGAATAACAATCCGCTCAGATATAAGAATCACAAGCGAGAAGATCTTTGAAGATGTGACGGGAACCCAATTGAAGTGTATTAGTTCCTATATATGGTATCTGTGTATGATGTTGGCTAAAGGAATCATGTAGCTAGGTAGGTATAAAAGGTTATTTGATCCGTACAAAGTGGTGAACAAGACCTTTTTGGAGCTTTCTTCTCCAACCACTAAAACCACCTAAATATAAAAAAGTGGAGTTATTCTCCAGTGTAGTGCAGCAAATTAACCAATACACACGATAATGTCAGCTGAAGTCAGATATTGATGCTTGGTTGCTAAGAAGATGCTGCTGCTCTCACTTGAGCAATTCATAAAAAGAACAATTATTATGATAATGATCTCGAGTTTAGCTTTTGGCTTTTCATTATCACTCCATTAGATTTGGCTCCCTGGCCAAACACTAGGAGAGCCAGGGAGTGAAGCCTGAAGTTGGGTGTCTATTCAGACTCCTTTGCCACAGGTCATTACCCACGCTGTTTCAATAAGGGGAATCTACAGAAAGCCAATTTCAGATACAAGTTGCAATACATTTGTACATCATATTATCAGCTCTACTATGAAAATAAATTTTTTGATATTAGCAGCATATTCTTTATTAGACTGCATCTAGGATTATACAAAGTACCACATTTAAGTCCTGGACAAGTTGATTGTATCAATATATGTGAACTAAACCCAATAAACAGTATAACACAGGCCACTGGGAGGAAAAGAGAAAATATTTACCAAAAAACTAGATTGGAAATCATGCACATTGAGTTGGGTATCATTCTGGGGAACATACCAAAAAAGAACAACATGGGAATAAATGACGAGGGTTAATTAATGGAGAATACACTAGTGGTGATTAAATTATCCTCAGGAAATTAAAAAAAAAAAACAAGTAGGAAACTTAGCAACTAATGACAAATGCGAAGAGAATTAGTCTGCTATTATATGATAAGCAAGATAATCTGGCTCAGGAACGGTATGTCCTATACAGACGCTCGTTGGCCTGATCAATTTGTGGTTTCAAAAGAGGGAAGGGTCACCACTTGGAATACCTTTTGCAGGATTCTCACAGCTGGGACTAACCCCACAAACAACTTTTCCTCCAGTTTATAAGGAGGTAACTCTGTTAATCTCAAACCATTCCCATCCTCAATCCAAGGAGTCTTCCTGTACTTAAGTGACTAGTCTTTTTCTCCGGTCACAATTCTTTTGCTGCTCATTTCCTCCTTGAACGTTTGGATTGTCAACCAAAAAATAACCTCCCTGACCTCATTCGTCCTATACGCTTCCAGAAACACCAAGAGTTCAATTAGTCATTTTAAAGTCACAGATGGCATCATGCAGTTCCAACTCCTCATGGACAACCAAGCAAAACAAACTGTTCGAAAAGGCCTTGGCTTTATATGATAAGGACACCCAAGACCGCTGGCAAAAGGTTGCCAATGTCGTTGGAAAATCTCCAGAAGAAGTAAAAAGGCACTATGAAATCCTTGTTGAGGATGTTAAAAGCATTGAGCAAGGTCAAGTTCCATATCCTTATAGATCAACAGGAAACAATGGCTAAACATCAAAAATCTGCAAGTGAAGGTAATCTTAATCTAGCTCTTGACTGATCAGCTGAAACAGCAATCACTTGCCACCATACATTGCATATATCATACCTCATGCAGTCATAACTTCCTAGATTAATTCATATTTAACAATTGTCATTGTTCATAGGCAATATTTAAAGCATAGGATCTTGAGCAACTTCTTTAGTTTTGAGAGAAAACAGCTAACTCTTGTCTATCCATCCACCTTCTAAAAAGCATGATAATCAATCAACTACCTTAAACTATACGTTATATACTGCACATCCAATTCACACACGAGGATCTAAGCATGACACAGGAAGAGCACTGGAAGTTAATTTTATGGATATCAACCTTGTATTTCATATTACATCATACATGTAGTACTTCCTGAGTTCCTGACCACAGTCCACAGTACATGCAACTCCTTATCCTGTCCCAAATCCCTCACTAACTAAAAAAAAGGAACCCATTTGACATTCAATTAGATTTTGGATAATATATCCTGTGTTTCGTGTGCTTGCAACTTGCAAATCCAACCAGCTTATCTTTTAAGATTCCTAATAATTAGATGGACTAAAATGGATGATGATACTCCAATATCACGTACCCAACGCCTTTTCCTCTTTTCGCTTTATAGTTCCTAGTCTTTTATAAAGTAATGGAGAAAATATAAAGCTAACCATTTGTCCACGCTTAGAGCCACTGTTTTATCAACCCAACATAGCACACTTTTCACAAGCATCAGTTCTGAAACTGAAATTTGTGGCATACTTGGTAGTATATAAAACTCTGCCCCTTCATATACCCACCAGTTAAAGTAATTAAACCCATAATTAACAACCAAGTTTTGATTAATTTTCCTACACTATTATCACATGCAACATCTACATGCATGATTATTTCTAGTATTCTGTAAACTGAATTTTGTAACTGAAAATTATTTCATTTGTTTGGGTGTTTAACAGGCTATATGCTCAAATTGCAGTAATGGAGTTATAGTAATTAAATTATCCTACCATGTGTAAAGACGGCGAAAGCGGAATTCTGGGTACACCCATCCATAATTATTCCAAGGAAGTTCTCTTGGGCAATTTATCAGTCAATTTAAGTACATTTCCAATTTTCAGTGCAATTAGCCAAGAATTATTATGTGTATTCCATTATCAGATGACCTAGTAATTGTGTTCTTAATTATTATTATGTGTATTCCATCATCAAATGATCTATTGTAATTGTTGTTTCGGTTGAAAACAATGGGACCTTGCCGAAGGTCCGTTGAAATGGAGAAGACTGGATTCGATCCAAGTTGTGTTGGGCCGAAGGTTTCCTGCACAGTGAACACACGTAAACTAGCCTCGGGGGTGTTTCCGAGGAAGGCCCCTCCGATGCTAAAGTCAGTATAATGTGTAAAAGGAAGACACTATGCAAGAGAGTTTGTAGCTTGAGGCTTTTGTGGAATATTTCTGAATGCAAGAATGAGCATACGAATTGGAATATGACTCTCCCCTTGAATGTGTTAATATGAGGGCTTTTATACCTCATCATACTTGGAGAGGTTGGGCTTTAGCCCAATTGGCTTACTTTGTGGGCTGACTTTTGACTTTTGAGCAATTGGAGAGTTGAACCTTGACCTTGGGCTTTTAATTGGATCATTTAGTGCTCAGGCCCAATTTTGACTAAATTGGACCCAAACAACTTGCCCCCCAGACCCGATTTGGAAGAATGACGGGTCGGGTTTGATTTAACTCAGAAAAGGAGGGAAGTAAATGATTTAATTGATCCAAAAATTTGAATTTAAACCGTAATTAATGAGATAACAACGGTTAATGATTTGCGGAAGTTGGACGGATAATGGGCGGTTTAATCACAAGACATGTGTTTAATGGTTACTTAGTGGGTACTTAAGAGAAATTAAAGCACAGACTCTTCGTATCCCGTACCTGGAGATATAAACAGAGGCGCGTCATTCTCCTCACTTATTCACCAACACAAACCCAGAATTCTTCGAGAGAGAAACCAAGAACCCGCATCAAAACTTCGCAAATTCCCCCGAGCATTGAGCTTAGAAACTGAGACTTGCCACTACGAACTCGTAAATCGGCAACTTTCGCTTCAGATTAAGGTAAATTCCTTTGATTTCAGTTTATTTTTCTTCGAATTCGAACTCCTTCCCCTTTTCTTTCGACTTTTCTCTTCGAAATAATCCATGGCAAGAGGAGTTAGAGGTAGAGCCCGTGCTCCAAGAAGAGCAAGGCCGATTCCCGATCCTAGGAATAGGATTGGGACCTGGAATGGTCAAAGGCCGGAGTCTGACCCTGCTGAAGGGATTAGGGCGACTCCCCTTTCCTCGGCTCCTCCTCAAAGAACGGATGAGCCGAGTGCTTCTGGACTGGACGATGAAATTCCCGCTGTCCTTTGGGATATCCTCCCTGGGTTTTCAGAGTGGGAGAATGCCGAAGTCGCTTCGGCCATGATAAAGAACCGCCCCTACTCATGGTGGGTAGAGAACGCCGATCAATATCGATTTGCTGAGCAAATTGAGTTGCACTACGGCATTTTTGAAGCTGATGGATATTGGTGCCGAATGCCCTCAGCATCCGATAGAATCCATCGTCCACCCCCGGGGTATGTGGGGGTGTACACGAGACAGCTTCAGTATGGGCTGAGGTTCCCTTTGGACGTTTTCGTCCGAGACTTGCTGATCCATTACAACATTTCCCTATGTCAGCTAACCCCCACCAGCATCCGAAGGGTGATGACATACTTATGGGTCTGCAAGTTCTTCAAATACGTGCCGAACCTGCACTGCTTCAGAAAGCTCCATCGGCTAGTGCCAAATATTCAGAGTGGGCACGGAAGCCATGGTTCTGGGTGGTATCGGATTGAGTCCCGGCCCCAATACTTGACCATGTGGCCAAATGACTCTTCAGACAAGGACTGGAGAGGTCAATGGATTTGGGTTAGGGCACCCATAGATCCGGGCCACCCTTGCGTCTTCAGCGCTCCCCGGTACTTAGCTGAGCCTGATCCCGAAATGGGAAGTCTAGGTCCCCCCGCAGATAACGGGGCGGATCCGAACCTGGATCAGCAACATATCTTCGGCAAGCTGCCGAACCCGGGGGGGAGTGGTCGAATGCAGCATATCCCGGAGACTTGGCTCCCCGATACGCATTACGTTTTCCAAGAGAATATGCTAGCAGCTGTTGGCCTCAGCCGAAAGTTTAAGGATGGTAAGCTTCTTCGGCTGGGGCCGAGGCTTTTAACTACCTCTTTTTCTTCTCTCGCTTTGCTTTTTTATGCTGTGCCAACATATCTGAGCTAAACTTTTTCCCTTTCCTTTTTTCAGAGCGGGACGAGACCAACGTTGGTATTAACTACGCTCGTCTTGGTGTTAACCGAGAGCGAGTTGTAACTGAACGGGCCCCGTCTATCACTGAGCCGAGGCATAGGGAAGTTCATCTGGACTCTTCCCACTTCCAAATTGAGGCTGTTGCTCTGTATCAGAGGCAGAAGCCTTGGTGGAAGAAGAGAGACCCTTGGTTTCAGCTGCTGAACGAAGAAGCTGAAGCTGCCCGCACAGCCGAAGAGGTTGCACGGGTGCTTGAGGCTTGTGAAGGAGGAGAAGGGTCCTCCAGAGCTGCTGAAGCCGAAGCTGCAGCTAGAGCAGCTGAAGAAGACGAGGCTTTGCTGAAAACCTCGGTGAGCTTTCAGACAACTTTTTTCTTTTCTTCTTTTTTTTTTTTTTTTTTTTTTTTTTTTTTTTTTTTTACTCACATTCTTCTTCCCCCCTGTCTGTTACAGTCTGAAGAGAGTAACAGACACAGAGAAGGCAAAGCTCCTGTTCGTCCCGAAGACCAAATACAAGAGTCTTCAGACTCAGATATGGACGAGCAGCCCCTTCTGAAAAGGCGCCGAAGGATGGCCATCATCGGCCCTCATGACTTTCAGCAGAGGCCGATGACCATCGGCGTCGCAATAAGGGAACCTGAGGAAGGCAATGGATCGCCGAGGGTTCCCCAGCCAACACCCCAATCTCCTCAAAAGACCCCTCTGCCACCTCCTGAGATGGAGGTGGATCAGAGAACTCCCGAACCTAAGGGAGGGGTCCAAGAAGAAATGAAGAAGAGTGCTGATGAGCACGAAAATAAGGATGCCGTGATGTCCAGCGCTGAGGGCTTCACGGCAGACATCGCAAGAGAGGTTGAGGCTTTCGTCCTCACCCCTGAAGAAGAGGAGGTCATAGTAATTGACTCCTCTGAGAAGGATGATGCTGAGACAACCAAAGCTAATCAAGCTCCATCGTCATCCTTCCCTTCTTTCCAGACTCTGCATTCTGGAGAAATGGGTTTTTCGGCCCCCCGAATTCCGATCCCAGATCACATCTGGGACCTCATATGGGGTCAAAACCGAGAAGGAGCTGCAGCCTACTTCGGCAATTTTGCTGGCATGTCCGAAGTAGACAGGGCAAGGATCTGGTCGCTGAAGGCCACTGCTGGGATGGGCGAATCCAGCAGATCAGTTCCTGACCCAGCCAGGTCTAACCAACTGCTGATGATGCAGGTAATTTTCCTTCATTTCCTCCGAAATTCAGCTCTATTTTTTTCTTATTACTTATTTTTTTTTTGTCTTCCTGTTTTCAGTTCGTGCACAATCAGACTCTCACTGTAGAGCTGATTGATACCCTACAAGATAGGGTAGACGCTGCTGTGCACGAAAGGAAGGTGGCTGAAGAGGAAGTTAAGCTTGCTAAGCTGAAGCAAGCAGCAGCTGAAGAGAAGCAGCAGGAGGTTGAGGAGTACGGTAAAAAAGCTGCCGAAGCTCTGAAAACCTTCTGCGATGCTATGGAGATGGAGGTTTTTCCCCCACTGATGGAAGGGGAAAAATTCCTCCAGGAGCATATGGGAGTGGACGTCTCCAAATTCAAGGCTGCTATTGAGAGCCGAATTCAAGAAGGAACTGCTGCACAAGCTGAAGTACAGCAGCGTCTAGAGGCTCTTGAAGCCAGCCGAATGGCTGCTGAAGAGTTGCTCCTGGCCAAAGAAGTCCAACTCTCAGAGGCTGCTGCTGCTGCTGGAGCTCAAAGAGCTAAGTTCCAAAAGGCTGAGGATCAACTGCTGATCCAGAAAGTTGAAGTGGCCCAGGCTCAGACAAAGGCTTCCCAAATTCAGCAAGAGCTGAATGAGCTGAAAGGCTCCTCCTCCCAAGTCGCTGATGAGCTGAAGAAATCCAAGGAAGACTTGGAGGAGACCCAGAAGAAGCTGGCTGATGCTGAGGCTTTACTCAAAGTCCGTGTCTATACCCAAGAGGAATATGAGATGGGTTTCAGAAACGGATTCCGAGTATGCCGAAGAGTCTGCCTTCATGCTGAGCCGAAGCTGGACTGGTCTAAATGTGCTGAGTGGGTCCAGAATCCCGAAGACCCTCACATGAAGTTTGCAACTCCAGCTGAAGCTGAAATTCTTAAGGCTGAGGAAGCCGAAGAGGAAGCTGAAAGACTGGAGTTGGAAGCTGAGCAGAGGGAAAGGGAGGCTCGGCAAAGTGCAAAGCCCGCCTCTTCTGCTGCTGGGGCTGAGGCCACCATGGGACTCAACGCTGATCAGTCTGATCCGCCGGCTGAAGCATAGGAACTCGGGCAGTCGTCTTCAGAATCTTGCGGTTCATCATGTGCTTAACTTTAGACTTGCCGCTTTCTGAGTTTTTTGCCTTGTTTTTTGCTTCAGCTTGCCTTGTCGTACAGCAGTTTTATTTTTTTGCTTATGTACGTATTTCGGCAGCTGTTATTTTCCGCTTGTGGGCGGCTGCCGATACTGAATTATTGAACTTGTAGCTCAATTTTTTTTCTTCAGTTGCTTTATTTTTGAATGCTTTACTGTTTCTTTTCTTCAACTCTGCCGAACATAGCTGCACTGCGTGCTTCTTGCCCCCACAGAAATTGAAGTATGACTTTAGTTGAATAAGCAATTTCTGAACTTCTTCAAAATGGATATCCGAAACACAGGGCCAACTGAAGGCAATGCTTCTGGGATACAAGTCTTACTGAAGATTGACTGTCTGAAAGTTGGATATCCGAAACACAGGGCCAACTGAAGGCAATGCTTGGGATATTAGCTTTCTGGGACTAACCTCTTTAGAACAAGTCTTACTGAAATTTGACTTCAGCTGAAAGACCAGCGTTCTTAAAGAAGACGCATATCCGAAACACAGGGCCAACTTAAGGCAATGTTTCGGATAATGGCTCTCTGGGATACAAGGCTCAGTTAAGGCAATATC